CATGTTTTAAATTGCAGTTTCTTAAAGAGGAAAAATAGGGTATTTTAAAATGGCCATAAACTCCTTAAATATTGACATTTCGGGGTTTTTAGCATGTTTTAAATTTGCAGTTTCTTAAAGAGGAAAAATAGGGTATTTTAAAATGGCCATAACTCCTTTAATTTTGACATTTCGGGTTTTTTTGGCATGTTTTAAATTGCAGTTTCTTAAAGAGGAAAAATAGGGTATTTTAAAATGGCCATAACTCCTTTAATTTTGACATTCGGGTTTTTTTGGCATGTTTTTAAATTGCAGTTTCTTAAAGAGGAAAAATAGGGTATTTTAAAATGGCCATAACTCCTTAAATATTGACATTTCGGGGTTTTTTAGCATGTTTTAAATTGCAGTTTCTTAAAGTGGAAAAATCTGGTATTTTAAAATGGCCATAACTCCTTTAATTTTGACATTTCGGGTTTTTTTGGCATGTTTTAAATTGCAGTTTCTTAAAGAGGAAAAATAGGGTATTTTAAAATGGCCATAACTCCTTAAATATTGACATTTCGGGTTTTTAGCATGTTTTAAATTGCAGTTTCTTAAAGAGGAAAAATAGGGTATTTTAAAATGGCCATACTCCTTAAATATTGACATTTCGGGGTTTTTAGCATGTTTTAAATTGCAGTTTCCTTAAAGAGGAAAAATAGGGTATTTTAAAATGGCCATAACTCCTTTAATTTTGACATTTCGGGTTTTTTGGCATGTTTTAAATTGCAGTTTCTTAAAGAGGAAAAATAGGGTATTTTAAAAGGCCATAACTCCTTAAATATTGACATTTCGGGGGTTTTAGCATGTTTTAAATTGCAGTTTCTTAAAGAGGAAAAATAGGGTATTTTAAAATGGCCATAACTCCTTTAATTTGACATTTTCGGGTTTTTTTGCATGTTTTAAATTGCAGTTTCTTAAAGAGGAAAAATATGGTATTTTAAATGGCCATAACTCCTTTAAATATTGACATTTCGGGGTTTTAGCATGTTTTAAATTGCAGTTTCTTTAAAGAGGGAAAAATAGGGTATTTTAAAATGGCCATAACTCCTTAAATATTGACATTTCGGGGTTTTTAGCATGTTTTAAATTGCAGTTTTTTCTAAAGAGGAAAAATAGGGTATTTTAAAATGGCCATAACTCCTTAAATATTGACATTCGGGGTTTTTAGCATGTTTTAAATATGCAGTTTTAATGAGGAAAAATAGGGTATTTTTAAAATGGCCATAACTAGCCTTAAATATTGACATTTCGGGGTTTTTAGGCATGTTTTAAATTGCAGTTTCTTAAATAGGAAAAATAGGATATTTTAAAATTGGCCATAACTCCATAAATATTGACATTTCGGGGTTTTTTAGCATGTTTTAAGTTGCAGTTTTCTAATGAGGAACAAGGGGGTATTTTAAAATGGCCATAACTCCTAATATTGACATTCGGGGTTTTTTAGCATGTTTTAAATTGCAGTTTTCTAAAGAGGAAAACAATAGGGTATTTTACAATGGCCATAACTCCTTAAATATTGACATTTCGGGGTTTTAGCATGTTTTAAATTGCAGTTTCTTAAAGAGGAAAAAATAGGGTATTTTAAATGGCCATAACTCCTTAAATATTGACCATTTCGGGGTTTTTTAGCTTGTTTTAAATTGCAGTTTTCTAAAGAGGAAAAATAGGGTATTTTAAAATGGCCATAACTCCTTAAATATTGACATTTCGGGGTTTTTAGCATGTTTACAAATTGCAGTTTTCTAAAGAGGAAAAATAGGGGTATTTTAAATGGCCATAACTCCTTAAATATTGACATTTCGGGGTTTTTTAGCATGTTTTTAAATTGCAGTTTCTAAAGAGGACAAATAGGTATTTTAAATGGCCCATAACTCCTTAAATATTGACATTTCGGGTTTTTTACCATGTTTTAAATTGCAGTTTCTTAAAGAGGAAAAATAGGGTTTTTAAAAATGGCCATAACTCCTTAAATATTGACCTTTCGGGGTCTTTTGCCTGTTCCCAAATATTCAAATTTTTGCCAGAATATTAGTTTGTAGATACCGAATAGAGGAGGAAAAACACATTTTTTTTTATATTTATTTTATTCGATTTATTATTTCCTTTACAATGCTATATAGGTATTAACTATTAATTGTTTATATATTTCCTAATTTATACAAGAATACCTATTTGGAGTTAAAAATAAAGTCTAGCATGAAATAGATAATAAAAGTTCTTAATTAATTTCAAGAAAATCTAGGTTTTAGCAAGTCATGTATTTATTTTAATTTATATGGAATTTATTCAGAATATATATATTTTTTAATATATGATAAAATTATTTGCTTTTATATTTTTTTATTTTCTTTTCTGTTATTGAAATATGTTATATATTCGTTATATAAGGCTTTACATAAATATACATGCTTATATAATATTTTTACTTTTTTCAAATTTTTATTTCGTTATTCTAAATTATTTACAAATGACGTAGTTCCATAAATAAATGAAACATGGTTTTAATTAATGATACTTAAATTAATTGGAAATACAATATGCCAAAATGATCGACGGATATCTTCAAGGGAAAATAGATGCGAAAGAGCCGGATATTTTTTCGGATTTAATGATAATTTTGGTTATTCAAAATTTTGACCCTTTGTGGGAAGGTACCAGAAGAATGGTCCCGATCTCTACATCTTATAACAGATCTTGTATTGATGGAGATATCCTAAGTCTGAATAAAATCGGATCTTAATTTCACGTTTTATGAGCCTCATGGATATTCAACAATTTGACCTCTTTGTGGGTGACGGTACCAGAAGGAGTGGGACCATAATGTCCCATGTTCTCAGCTGATCTTGTGTTAGTAAAAACAATGGTTTGTCTGAAATTTATAGGAGACCTGATGCTTATTGCGGAGTTTATGATAGTTTTGGTTATTCAAACTTTTAACCCTTTGTGGGGAGGTACCAGAAGGAATAGTGCGATCTCTACCATATTTATAACAGATCTTGTATGATGGAAATATTTAGATATCCCAAGGAATCGGAATCATAATTATGGACTTCATGGATATTCAAAATTTACCCTTTGTGGGGGAGGTACCAGAAGTAGTTGACCGATATATCCCATATTTACAGCAGATCTTGTCTTAGTCAAGATAATGGGATGTATGAAAAATTAAGAGAACCGGATGCTTATTTCGAATTTATGATCGTTTTGTTTATCCAAAAGTTTGACCCTTTGTGGGGAAGGTACCAGAAGGAATGGTTCGATCTCTACTGTCTTTATAACAGATCTTGAATTGATGGAAATATTCAGATATCCCCAGCTTGAAAGGGAATCGGTTCTCAATTTTACGATTTATGAGCTTCTTGTGGGGGACGTACATGATGGAGTGGACCGATATATCGCATCTTCACAGCATGAGTTATTAAAAATATTGTGATGTGTGTAATTTGAAGACGATGGGATACTTACATCACATTTTATAAGATTTATAATTATTCAAAATTTTGACCCTTTGTGGGGGAAGTACTTGATGGAGTGAACCGATACTGTCAATTTTCGCACCTGATCTAGCATTGATGCAAATACTAGGATTTGCAAAGTTGGAGCAAAATTTAATTATGCTTTCCCTTTCTGTGCAGTAAAATATTTCCTTTGAAATTTCGCCCTGGGGGAGGTACCAGAAGGAGTGGACCGATATTTCCATCTCCGAACTTGATCTAAGTTTAATAACAATATTCCGATGCACGAAGTTTGGACTAAAACGAATACTTCCTTCGAGACATCGGACGGACATCGCTAGATCGACAAAAAATGTCCTGAATTGGATTTTGTCAAAGAGGCCTATTGCCTAAAATCGTTATTTCGATGAGGCACGTTTTGCCCGTACTAAATGATACCCTTCGTAGCCATATGGCTGAGGGTATAGAAAGTCTCCAACGTTTTTAAACATCATTTTGAAAAAAATAGTTTTGTTTTGATGTGCCCAATTGTTTTTAGGATCTCTAGATCGGATATTAATTTTAAATTTATTTTTTAGAGATTTGACTTTGACGATTGTTTTAAATTTATCCACCACAGTATGGAGGGATGTTAAGTTGTCCTTCTGTTTGTAATATCTCTAGATAAACATAAAGTATCTATAGATTTTAGCTATATTTTTCAACAAAATTATCTTAAACATGGTTTTGTGATTTTAAATTGGCACACCATCGCAGGCAGATATGGGATGTAAAGGTCCACGTTTTCCTATAACCCCATCACTTGATATTCGGATTTTTAAAATTATAGCGACATTTTTCAATGAAATGGTTTTTGCAATTACCAGGACCTTACAAATCGTGGAGAGTATTAAAGTTCAGACCCGGCAAACTTAGCTGTTTTTTTATTTGTTTCAAATAGAAAATTTAAAATTTTTGACAATATAATTCTCTTTTGTGGCATCAATTCGAATTTGTTGGTATATCAGCAGGTCAAAAATGTATTTGAAAACTCTAAACTAAAACTAAGCTTCTACTATTTTTTCAATATTTATATATGTATATTATTATATTATTTGGGTATATATTGTATTTATAAAATTTTATGAAGAACTAATGGGAAATTTAAAAAGAATTGGTCATTTTAGATTTTTTTATAGTTATTATATACAAGCAATTCAAAGTCGATTTTAAAACGTCTCAAATTTTTCGACCACCACTTTTATATTTTTGCGGAATCATGGAGAAAAGTATAAATTTCAAACATCAATAAGTCCATGACTTCTTTAACTTCCCTCGTAGCCATATGAAAGAAATGCAACATTGCTACCAACAATCATATTTAAGTCGATTACTGTTAAATTTTAACACAGTTCCGTCATTGTGGAATTGATATATACTCTTCTTCTCAATACAAGGTAAAAGAATACGTATTATACTCATTACTATTCTAACTCCACCATAAGCAATTTGGTAATTTAAAACTCCTCGGAATCTTAAATACCCTCAGTTTTTGTTATTATGCCCCATTGGTGCAGTTCCAGGGAGCCTCCTTAGGCGACGAATTCGACGATATTTGAGTGGGTGTGGTTGGTGGCGACAATTGGCTAGCTGTATGCATTTGTTGTTGTTGCTGCTGTTGTTGTTGATGCGTCTGATGCGAACTTTGATGCGATTGATATGTTGTTGGTGCGTTGTGGTGCTATGACTCGAAGGCGGCGATGTCGATGACGACTGATGATGATCCATCAGCGATGGCATCATATTGGCCACCAGACCATTCATGGTGCTCTGAGTCATATCCTGGGCTTCGTTCTTTAGTCGGACATTTGCCGCAGCTACAGCTGCAGCATGATGATGCTGGGCATGGGCATTGCTAAGAGAGCTGTGATGGAATGAGAGCGGTGGTAAGTGAAGTCCAGGGAATGCTAGACCGGCAGCTGCAGCGGCGTGTAAAGATTGCAGTAAGGCAGCCGAATGCTCTTGGGCTTTGCGTCGCAATTCGGCCACCGAAGATGAGCGTGGATCACAATGCTATGGGCCGAATGGGGTGGTGATTCGGGAGAGCTGTTCGTTGAAGAGCAAGAGACGTTTATGGAGCTTCCGGGAGCACCGGATCCTGTGTGATGCGGTTTTTAGGGGACAGCAGGCGCAGAGGCCGGGGAATGAGGGGACGCCTGGAAAGAAAAAAAATACACAACAAAATTAAAGATTAATTAATTACATAATTTTGGATATATAAAGAGGCAGCTTTTCAATTATTAACATTTGTGAAAAAAAAAAATTAAAAAAGTTCGGTTATTGAAATTTGTAACAATATATTCTAACTATGCCAAGAACTACTTTTAAGTTTGGGTATATAAGGAAAATTTCAAGTCCAAATCTGACTTTTGGTATGACTAGCATTTAGATTTTTCATAAATCCTCATATGCGTAATATGCACTCAGCAACAATTATATATGGTACCAGATATCAGACACAGCTCAGAAATAAGTGCCTAAAATTTTGTCAAGATCGGTTCAGATTTAGACATAGCTCCACATATATCTTTATCCGATTTCAGGTTAATTGTGCACCAAATAGCCAATATCAGTTCAAATGACCTGAATTTTGGCATATCCGACCGAATTCAATCTAGAAGCAAGTACAGTAAATTTGAAAAATCCGCTCAAATATAGCTATAGCTCCCATGTATATGTTTCATCAGATTAGGTGTTAAAGTCCCTCACACTCACTCCACAACAAGGATATTTGATATCGGACATAAGTTACAGCTCGAAAATACCTCTGCCAAATTTTATCGAGATCGATTCAGATTTTTATATACCCTCGATTTGAAGGTTATTGTTCACCATACATGTAATATCAGCCTAAATCTGATACATATTTTCATATTCACTTTTATATTTTTATATAATCCTTATCGAAGTCATATCATGCACTATACAGCAATGCTATTTGGTACAAAAGCCTCCGTCAAATTTGTTGAAAATCGATTCAGAGTTGGATATAATTCCCAAATTGTGACTCTAAAGCCATGATACGCATAGTCGGCCGCCCGACATTCGACCATTCCTGTTTACTGTTTTTATACCCTGAGCCATATGGCTAGAGAGGGTATATATCATTTGATACGGTCAAAAGGTGCCTAGACGAAATGAAGGTTTTAGACCCTAGGTCTCTTTAGACCAAATCCGTTTCAGGACATTTGGAGTCGATCTAGCGCTGTCTGTCTGGCTGGCTAGTGCGCAAGATAACTCTCGAAGGGCGTATGCGAACTTGGTACATCGTAATACTTAGATCGAGTTCGGAGATGGGCAATATCGGTCCACTCCTTCTGGTACCTCCTCCACAAAGGATCGCAATTTTCAAAAAATATATTTTCTGCACAGAAAGAGAAACGATTATTCGATTTTGCTCCAACTTGGCAAATCTTAATATTTGCGTCTGTGCAATGTCAGGTGCGAAAATGGACAACATCGGCCCATTCCTTCTAGTACCTCCCCCCAAAAGGTCGAAATATTGAATATCCACGAAGCTCATAAAACGCGAAAGTAACATTCGATTCCATTTAGAATTGGCCCATCTGAATATTTCCATTAACAAAAGATCTGTTGTAAAGATGATAGAGATCGGACCATTTCATCTGGTACCACCCCCACGAAAGCTTAACGTTTTGAATAACCAAACTCCGAAATAAGCACCAGGTTCTCTTTATATTTTACACATTCCATTATTTTTACTAACACAAGATCTGCTGTGAAAATGGGATATATCGATCCACTCCTTCTGGTACCTCCCCCACAAAGGGTCAAAATTTTGAATATCCATGAAGCTCATATAACGCGAAATTAACATCCGATTCCATTCAGGTTTGGTACATCTCAATATTTCCATCAAAACAAGAACTGTTGTAAAGATGGTAAAGATCGGACCATTTCTTCTGGTACCCCCCTATAAAGGTTCAACATTTTGAATAACCAAAACGATTATAAAATCCGAAATAAGCATACGGTTCTCTTCATTTTTGACACATACCGTTAGTTCTACTAATACAACATCTGTTGTGAAGATGATAATATCTGCGAACTCTTCTGGTACCTCACCCACAAAGGCTCACAATTTTCAATAACTTGCGAAACAAGTCAGCGATTCTATATCTAAATACTTCTATCAACCAGAAACCTGATATGAACATGGAATTTATCGGAATTTATGATTTCGCATAAAATTGGATATAAATATTCGATTTTCTTGTAATGTTGCCCATACCAATATTTTTTTCTGTACGCACATTTTAACATTTTCTACAAATTATTATATATCTCATATCAAGTGAAGGAAGTGACCAAAATAGTCCAAACCTGCCACGTGGCCAAAATAGTCCAAACCCTGCCTTATTAGGGTACTCCTTAAGACGGTTCATTTAAGAGGAGTTATGGTGTTCAAAATATTTCAACCGTCACACATTTCAATACCAAAAGGACTGGGTATAGTTGTGGAAATAGGTTGCCATTTTTGCAAGGAATTCGAGGAATATATATCAATTAAAATTCATTCTATAATGCTCGGGAACATTATGGAAGGGCTTATCCAAAATTTAGATTTTTCCGGTAACAACATTCACTTCTTGTTTCATTCCAACTGACATTAACCCTTTCAGTGTTTTTGTCAAATATATTTGACATTTAAAAGTACTCTCTTTCTTTGCCATTTTTGTTTTTCTTACGAACCGTTATTTTTGATATTTTTTAATAACAGACACGTTCGCTATTTAAAAATATTGCAGTTCTATTCTATTAGTTTCGTTTTCGAATTTCTGAGCACATTTTAGTAAATTAGTACGGAATTTCAGATTTTTATCTCGACAAAAATTTTCATTGACACTGAAAGGGCTTAGAAAAATTCCTACCACATGTTCTTCCGTCTGTCTAGCTAGCTAATTTAACTAAAAGCTTTAAAAATCAAAGGCTGTCAATTAGAATTTGTATCGGCAGCCTGTGCCTGGTTGTTGGGGGGAAGTGGGTTTGGGAAAGCCCTATGCGAGAGAAAAAAAAAGAAATCAATCGATAAAGCTTTTCTTTTGACGACATTAATTGCATTTGATGTCGTGGAAAGTTATCTATCCACTTTGATTGAGTTCGTTTGTCCCTGAGTGTGGTAGACAGACTGCCTCTTTGGCTGACTGGTTGGCTGGCAGGCAGGTTGTTTGTCTATTTCGAAATGCATAACTGATTGACAAATTTTACCAATCTGGGGTTTTCCATCATCCAACCGACGACGATGATGATGCTGCTGCTGATGACGATGATGAAATTTTAATAAAATCATTTTTCCCCTGCCGCTCTTTCCCCCCCATTCCTTTTTCTTCTATCATCCAAAAAGGCTGCATGTTGTGCCTAGTTGTTAGTCCTTGTTAGAGGGATTTTTTTGGCTTATATCCGTTCTACATGTCGTTTGTTCTAGTGGTCTGTATGTAAGTCGGGGTGTGTGTGCGTTTGTTGGTTGAAATGAAAAATCAAAACCATATCAAATTTCCATAGAACAACAATTATTACCTTTCAAACCGGGAAACAGTGGCTGCTGTGAAAATTGAGAGCTCAACGAGGCCAAATGTGGTGGCAAGAACAGCGATGGAGCATGATTGGCCCGTGCTGCGGCGGCGGCAGCGGCTGCTGCTGAGGCACTGCTGGCAAGGGATGTTGGTGGTGGCGGTACTTCATTTAAAACCGGTCGGAAACCACAATTACTGGAAAAAAGGAGAGAGAAAAAAATGAAATGATTTAAGTAAACCTTTTAAGTGTAGCATGTGTAGCTTTTTATACCCTACATCACAAGGTGGTCTGGGTATTATTCTTTGTGCATTTGTTTGTAACAGGCAAAAGGAAACGAGATAGACCCATAGTTCCTTTTGATGATCTGCATAGAATCACATTCTGAGTTGATTTATGCATGTCCGTCCATCCGTCTGTCCATGTATTTTTGTGAAAGAAGTACAGTTCGCATTTATTACCCGATCCAAATGAAATTTTGCACAGATCATTTGTTTGGCCCAAGGACGAACCCTATTGAAATTGGAGATAATCGGTAATAATTTAGATATAGCTCCCATATATATCTTCGTCCGATTTGCCTTTTATTGTGCACCAAACGTGTAATATCAGCCCGTATAGTATGAAATGTTGCACATACAACCAAATTAGGCCTGCAAATAAGTATGTCAATTTGATCGAAATCGGTTTAGATATAGCTATAGCTCCCATATATATTGTTCATCCGATTTGTTATTTTTGTCCTCCGCAGCCGTTATATTCACTCCGTAACAGCAATATTTGGGGAAATATATTAAATACATCTCAGAATCACCTTTGCTAAATTTTATCGAGATCGGTCCGGATTTGGATATATCTCCCACATATAAAATCGTCCGATTTACCTTTTATTGTGCACCAAACGTCTAATTTTGCCCAAATGGGATAAAATTTCGCACTTAAGACCGAATTGAGTCTAGAAGCTAGTATGTCAAATTTGGTGAAGATCGGTTCAGATATAGCTATAGCTCCCATATATATTGTTCATCCGATTTGTTGTAATTGTTACCCACAGCCGTAATATGCACTCCGTAACAACGATATTCAGGGTAATACAGCTCAGAAATATCTTTGCCAAATTTAATCAAGATCGGTCCGGATATAGCTCCCATATATATCAAATGGGCAATACAAGTCCGAACTTAAAAGATACAAATGCTTCGGCATATTTAGTCTTTTGAACTTTACTTTTTACTTTACTGGTTTGAATTTAAAAATGCAGGAGGAATATTATTTTATTTTCAAATATAAACTCACACAACCCATACCAAATATCAATTTTGAGGCCAATCAAAAAGTTCAAATTTTGCAAAAAAAGTGTACGATTTTTAGATTCCGGTGATGGGTCATATTTGAGAAAATATTCTCAAATTAAATAAATCTTCCCCGTATCGTTCCTCTTCATAACTTTATTAAAAAATTTCGAGAATTAATTAAATTTTGATTTTCAATAATTGAATGAAAAAATACAAATCACCAAACTCTTTTCAATGAATTCCATTCCTCCTGTGTCCCTCCCCTTTCTTCATCATTGCATAATTTCCCAAATAGGCCTAAATAATTCCATTAAAACTCTGTAATTCATCCATCATCTTCATTGATTTGCGCTTGAGAATATTTTCTTTTCTATCTGTTAATGGATATTACAACAGCTCATAACCCGCATAAAGCAACAACACAAACAACAATAACTTTTTCCATTGTTTCACATTTTTTATTTAAAAAATACTGAAAATAAAAAAACCCAATCCAAATCGTGTCAATTATAATGTTTCCAATTAAACAATTAAAGACACCCGTTCTTGTGAATTGGAAACTGGGCAGCAGGGTTTTGCATGCAAAGCAAACATTATGAAAAAACAACAACAGCAAGGAGAGGGGGATCCTTCTTACCACCATGTATGGATGATGGTAATCCCATATCATAGTTTTTTTGTTGTTATTATTTTTTGTTGCTATAATATGCTGCAATGGGGAGCTGTGTAGTTCAGCATTTCCCTTTGCAAGCCAAGCTGTTGGGTGTTCACTTCACTTTGGTTCGCTTTCAGTGTGACATGCCTCCCATAAATATCATTTGTCGCTCTGGTTCGGTCGTCCAAGTCGTTTTGTGTGTCTCTTAATTAATTCTTAATTGAAGAGAATTAAAATATTTTTACTGTCTAATTGTATTTATTAATAAACATATCGTTCATCGGTCATGCATAATCATTCTGTTGGGGGGACTATGGTGACGATGATGCTATGAAGCAACTCTTGTTCTTTTACATGATGGCAAGTGGCGTAGTAATAAAGAACTGAGTGAAAGGGGGAGTAATTGTGAAAAACCACGCCCTAGCCCGTTCAAGCCCTTTTGGCATTTTAAAAAAAAAATCTTTAAAGTTCGCATTTTCCCGGTATTTAATTACGAAATTTATGTTACTCCTTCAAATTGTTGAATTTAGTTGTTGCAAAATAATCAGGCTTAATCCCATTATTGTTGTTTTTATAAAAACAACGTTTGTTTATTGGTGGAGAAAGACAGCAATGTTACCAGGGGTAAGGCGGGGAATACCTAGGTTTCGGAAAGAGCCACCAATCCTCATCAGTTCCCTTGTTTTTTGTCCGGGATATTCCCCCCAGAAGTTATTTTAAAAATAACTACTAGACAAAATCTGTCTCCACTAACAAACAAAGGGCGTTTTTTTTTATAAAAACAACAATAATGGAATTAAGCCTGACTATTAGACAACAACATAATACTACGGTTTACCGAACAAATATGTCAACACTGCTCTATTTTTGAGTTTATGTCCTTAAAGACGCATAAATTTTTTTTTTTTAGATTGAAGGTTCTTTAATAAATCTAAAAGATCCACGAAATAAGGTCTTAAGGATATTAAAAAAATGTTTTAAAAATTAATAATTTAGGTGTTCATTAAAAATTCGATTTAGGACCTTTGCTGTTTGAAGAGATTTTTAAAAATTCACTGAAGAAGGTTAAAAGAATATCGGAAAATAAAAATCAGAATTATAAAAATAAAACACTGATGTTTTCAATTGACCTTAAGCCAACATAAAGTTAATAAAAATTCTTACAAAATAAAGATGTAAGACCCTGAGGCTAGTAAAAAATGTTTAAAAAACCAAATTTGATCCTCCTTAAGGAATTCATTAACAATTCGAATTCAAATACACAGTCTCAAAAAATACCAATCTTTATCCTCTTTGACCTTAGATTAAAAAATTACTATAATCGTCCTATAATAATTTGTTCAAACTCTACTTCAAAGTAAGTTAAAAGCGAATGTTAACCGTTCTGTTCCTACCTCAAATACCCGAATTTTAGAAATCCAGGATATCAGAGAATATGTACCAACCCTCCTACCCGAAAATGTCGATTGTCTCTTCTTTAATATAAATATCATAACACAATTCATCTTAAACTTATGAAGATAGTAACTCTATTAAAGAAAATACTGTTTACAAAAAACTGAGCTCAGCTAGAGTTATTGAAATTCCAAAAAGTGCAAGAACTTACACCGCAACAGAAAGAAAATAGACTCAAAAGAGGTAAAGAGTTTCTTCCCTTGGTTGAAAGTGGTGAACCACTGAATTTGGTTTCTCCGATGAGAAAATATTCGTTGTCCAGCTGTTTGTAAACAAACAAAATTATCGTGTTTACTTGCCAAAGAGGCCAGGTGAAAATGTGCACCTTTGGTTGGCCACCAGAACTCAAACGCCGGCCATGGTGATGGTGTGGGCCGCCATAACAGCCGATGGTCGCTCTCCGTATTAATCGACCGTGGCATCAGAATAAATGCCGAATATTATCGCGAAAATATTATGGAGGGTGTATTAAAGCCTTGGGCATGCAAACATTTTGGCCGCAGACCTTGGACATTTCAACAGGACTCAGCAGCATCGCACTCAGCACGCGCCTCCCAAGAGTGGTTACAAAATGAGGTTCCTCGCTTCATTTCCAGCGCACAATGGCCACCAAAATCTCCGGATACCAATTTGTTGGACTATTGTGTCTGGAGTATTTTGGAAAGCACTAAAAAATACCAAAGTGTCGATCACCTCAAGCAAGCGCTTCGCCGGGAATGGGCCAAAATGCCGCAGAGCAACATTCGGGCAGCGTGTGACGGTTTCATTGGCCATTTGAAGGCCATAATTCGTGCCAAAGGTGACCAATTCGAACAAATCTAACTTAATCTAAAGTTTGAAACTATTTCCGACATTTTTTGCTCTCTTTCCTACACTTTATACTAAATTTAGTACGATTTGTAACTTTTCGGACATTATATAGCACGCATTTCTAGAAACATCCCATTGTCCCTTTACAAAATTTCATAATTGCACCACTATTCCTAACCTCCATACCGAAGACAGTACTTTTCGTACAATTTAAAGAACGTTTTTTTTTCAAATCCGCCTTTCTATCTAAAAGCTCATAGTGATCCTTTTAGAAAAATTAACAATTTCCTACACTTTATACCCAAACTGTTCGGACACTATATGGAACGCATTTCAAAACCCAAACCATTATCTAAATCCTTCACATTCGTAGCGGATCCTTTACACAAAAAATCATAATTCCACAGTTATTTGCACACTCTATGCTAAAATTAGTACTTTTCGTGCACCGCACATCCTTACAAAGAGATACGGGGTCATAGTGACCCTCGGATCAAAATATCTACAACTCGAACTCTTTTACTACACATTTCCAAAAACTCCCCATTTCCTAAATCCTTATCACTCTTACTGGATCCTTACCGCTTAATTTGATATCCTTACATCTCCATTTCTACATTCTATACCGGATTTTATACTTATAGTATACTGTACAGTACGCAAAATGCACAACAGTACCAAAACTCACAACTCGAGTTTTTTTAACACTTTGTTCCAAATCTAGTAATATTTAGTAGAATATAGTTCGCATTGCCAAATCTACCTGCTTATCATAGTGATCGAAAAATATCGAAAATTAATTTGGACAATACTCGAAACCCATATGACATTTATAAAAAGCTTCACATTAAAACGTCAACCAAACCTCAAAAAATGCTATACTAATCCCCCTTAAATCACGTTGCAGATTTTCGCGTTTTTCTGTTAAGGAAATAAAAAAAAAACTCAAATAAATTTGTAATACTTCAGGAAACATTTAAGC